TGTGTGTGTGTGTGTGTGTGTGTGTGTGTGTGTGTGTGTGTTTGACAGTTCAGCTGATTAAGGTGCTGGCAGGGAGGAGGAGAAGAAAAGGCTGAAAACTGAGTGGGAGATAAAATGATTTATGGGAGATCTGAGAGGAGAGATAAATGACAGCCAAAATATCAGATTGCAAGAAAGGCAGCAGAAGAAAAATAAAGCAGGTGATTAGTGTAGAAAGCGAGCGAGCGGGAGGGAGGGAGGGAGCTGAGAGGCTGCGATGCGTTCGGAGGCCGCCGCTTTCCTCTCCAGTTGCAAACGTCTCTGCTTTCAGTCGCACGTGTGCAGAGCGTATAAAGGACGCTCGGCGAGGACGGCGCTGTGTGGCAGCTATGCACTCTGAGAAGTGATGACTGTATGTAAATTACGCTCGAGCGGATCGTGTGTCTGTGCATCAAGTTGTCATACGCTCGTTTATCACTTCTGCACATCTGCACCAACTTTTGCTGTGGTTTATCTCTCTCTTTACTTTTTGCTCATCCAGCTGCTTATCTTTCCCTCCGCTTCCCTCTCGTCTCTCACTCGCTTTAGTTTTTATCCTTAAGACTTTCTGTCTGCGAAGCTTTTCGTGAGAATCGCTTTAACCCACTTTCTAATGTTCTCTCCTCACTAAAGGCGGGTTTTCTAAATATTTAGAGGAGACAACAATAGATCAGAGTAACACGTGTTTATTTGACGTGTTCCTCCACCCATTTTTTTGATTATTAAATAGTCCCCGCTAATGGCTTCAGATGTGATTGTGAAACTGCAGCTACATGCAGCTGCAAGCTGAGGTGGAAATCAGTGTCGGGACTTCCTCAAAACACTCTGGCAGCATAATTCACTTCCTTCTGCTTCCTCCTCGTGTGCCGTGTTTGAAAGCTGCATTTGTTATACTGTCGTCCTTACAGCAGACTCACAGTGCAGGCAGCTGCTTGGATGTTTTCTGCTGCATTGCTGTGCACCAATAATCATCTCTGTCTCATTAACAGACAGCAGAGCAGAAATTCAAAGTGTTGAATGTAAAAACTACACAAGCACCTCCCTGAAAATCTAAATAGCTTTTGTGATTGGCCTGTTTTTAAACGATTAGTAAGATAATCAATTATTATTATTATTGCCCCAATATGAGGAGTAATAGTCATATCTGACAAATATGTTTACCTGTAAACAAATACCCAAATAAGCGTAACAAAGAGAGAGAACCCAGGAAGGGGCATTGCATACGTTCCCATCCCGGCTGGCACTGCGTGAAACGCCGAGCCGTGACCACAGCAACACGGACGAGTCGGCTGTACGAAGATTCGTTTATTTATTTATGGCCTGATTCTAGAAAAGATGCTTGGTCTGTTTTCTCAGGCTGTCGCGTCACCACTGAGGTTTTTATTTTAAATCAGATTGATTTCTTTTCTAGTAACCAACGGGAGTTACTCTCACATGGATGAGGAAGAGGACGGGCTGCTGTATGGACACGACGCTGACTTCAGCAGCTCCAATCAAAACTCTTATCTCCAGGAAAGGTGAGTATTTGTCTTCTTCAGAGGTTTTTACAGACTTACTCTTTATCCGCATGTTGGTGTCACCATCACAAAAACATTCGCTGAACTGTTGCGCACATTATTATCTTTTAGCCGTTCCTAAAAAATAACATTATTGAGCATCAGTGTTTCCTCCTTAATGTAAGCTCATTGCTGCTAACGCCGCTGCAGTTATAATAATCGACGTGCGAATGTTGTCTGCACGAGGGTCAAACAACATAAAACGATTCCCTCCTGTGTTATTAGAACAACACAGGATGCAACTTCCACACAAATAAAATCAGGGCTCTGTTTGCCTTGTGTTTCATTTGTTTAAGGGAAAAGCCTCACGTCTCCAGCCCGGCTCAGCCCCAGTCTCCCACCCAGAACCAGAACCAGTGGCAGATCCAGCACGTCAAAGCCTCGAAGAGCATGGACCTGGGTACGACTCAGAACCAGCATCACACTGGTGGGGACATGATCTTTCCTCGTTGTGCGCTCTGCATGGTGGCTGCGTGCATCCTCACATACATTTAATATTCCTGCTGCATGACTGCTGCACCACCCATGCTCTCCACAGCCACATGCAGACTGACACCTGTCCCACTGCATGCAGGTGGGACCTCTGCAGAGTCACTGGCTGCAGCTTTGTGTTTGTCTTGTGTGCTTAATTACATCCTGTACTAAACAGAATCAGGTTCATGTTAAAGAATAAGCCGTATATGCTTTTACATTTCGGGGCCTTGGACTGAGAATAGTGTGATTTGGCTTCTAGGAGTGTGAAGCTGCAGCATCTTTGTGGTTGACCTGTGAACATCTGAGACTTCCAAACTTAAGAAAGCGAGAAACAAAGTGCTAACGCGATGCAGGCTTTAGCTGCAGCTTCATTATGTTTTTTTATTCATGCAAACAGTGTGAGGAAGGTGATGCTGTGAGCTCACATCTCCGTCACCTGTTGCTCTCTGATTCGAGGGTGTGGAGACATTTCAGCGACTGTTTAAAGTCAGCCGTAGAGATGCCGCGTCCGTGTGCGTGCTTACGCCTGTGCTTGTGCATACATCAGTGTAATGTGACAGCGGATGCAGCAGCACAACAAAAGCATATTGTTTCAAATGTCACTTCCCTCAGTCCTCCTCCTTCAGATGTGTGTGTGTGTGTGTGTGTGTGTGTGTGTGTGTGTGTGTGTGTGTGTGTGTGTGTGTGTGTGTGAATGAGACAAAGCAGAAGACTACTTGAGCTGCTCAGACGTCTGTTTCTACACGAGTAACAGACTGATGGTATGCACTACATGCCTGGACATCGCCTCCTTTGTGTTTTTGCAGCCTCGATCTTCATTAAATGCACGACAAATAAATAAGGATTTATTAACCGATTGCTTGAATGGCATGTTTCCATTGCCAAACCATCAGGCAGCCACAATAACAACATCATATTAAGAAACGCCTCCGTTTTTTTCCTGTACTGACAGCAAAAGAGCAAAATTCAGCTTCGCACAGAAGTGCTGCAGAGGGGAGGACCTTACATGTTTGGGATAAATGTTATCCCTCTAGGCTGGCCTGAAGTTCTGCTTGATCCCTCTCTGTTATGTTGCTATTCCCAGCATGCCCTGGGTCTCTGTAAAGTCCAGAAGAACATATTGCTCACACGTCACAAACAAGGCGAGAGCGCTGAAGCCGAGAAGATTGACATGGAAGAAAAATGGGCTAATTTTGGTGACACGTTATAATCTGGCTGTGACTCAGGGTGTAATGGAATTCATTAGGTATTATATTTACCTACAAATACTTAAAGATATTAGAATTAAGAAGTAAAGTATAAGTACTCAGTTTCCCTCTGGGACCAATAAAGTCTCTCTGATTCTGACGTAAGTTGATGTAACTTCCAGGTATTTTACAGGAAGTTTGTCCTGGCTCCGTCGTTATAAGGTCAGGGAGGCCTGGGAATTATTTTTGGTAGAGGAGCAGACACCATATCACACTTACTTTGCTAAATTAAAAGGTCAGTTCAATAATAAAACATCCATCATGCACATCAATGCTGTGAATATTAAATAAAGATGTAAAAATTCAAGGTTAATCCATCTATAACATGACCCCCTCCCTGCAAACTTCAGATGGAAGATTTTGTTTTGTTTTTCTGCAAAAATACCAAGAAATGTGCTGAAATTTACTTACAGTGTGATTATTTCTTTGTTTCCTGTCAAATCCTGAATTTTCACCCTGTTGTAAGAGTTCGTAGGTAAATGTAATGAGATTATAATCTCATGTAATAGAGGGGAATTACTGCCTTAGTCGTGTCGGCCTCATCTTTTGGTGATGGTTTCTGTGATAGCGCTTCGGGTGAGCTTCAGTGGTTTTGTAAAAGTTTATAAGCTGCGGCAGAAAAGCCGCATTTGTTATCGCACCAAACACAAACGAGGTCATAACCGCAGCCCAATATTAACCACAACCGCCTCGCCAGTTTACTCAGCTCTGCTAATTTGAGCATCAATTAGCAAATATGTCTCTGTCAGCACACGTGCCTTTGCATCGCTGTATGCAAATCAGGTTTCTCTCATTAGTACTGTAAGTAAAGTCTCAGGATCATATCGAGTCACGAGACGCGCGTGAGGACGGATTCCTGTTACGGAGCTCAAAAGGAGACGAATCGCGTGCACGGACACGCGCAAACGTCACCATGGCGATGAAAGATTTTTCACTTTGTATGCAATCATAGCTGGACGTGAAAAAAGTTTCTAGCTGAATTCTTTTTTAACTTTATTTATTAGAGGCGCTTTCAGCTTGGCACTATTTAATTAAAGTGATATTTCAAAATCAGGCAGTTTTGGATGTTTTACGGCTGCTGCTGCAGCAGCAAAGAGCACAGCAGCGCCTCGGCTAGATTTAAGTGTTCATTTGCAGGCGATTGTTAGGAAAGCTGAATGTATGTGAGTGCAGCAGGGCAGCTTAAGACTGAAGCAGGAAGTGTTTGCTGACGAAGCCTCTGAATGCTGCTCACTGAAGACTGCGTGGTTAGAGACGCTCAGGGGTCAGCGAATAATCCCGTCATTACACTTTTGCTCTTTTCACAACCTGTAAATGTAGTTTCATGTAAATAGTTCATGCAGTTGTGTTAATAAGTGCCACGAATGTGCTTTAGTGAGAACTCGTTATCTTCTTTCATATAACGACCACGTTCCCGTTAGGATCGACTTCATGCTTCTGTGTGTTTATATAAAAAAAGAGCAGGACGCCGTTTTCATCTATTAATTGGTGGGTCATTTTTATTTAATTTGTCCTGATTTCATTTTTCAGTCCAATTAAAAACTGAAGAATTATTTAAGATCAGTTGCAAATGATGAACGCCTCCCTCGCTCACCGCCGTCCCTGTCGCTCCATCTCTGACACCTTTCCTTCTCTGTGCAGTAAACTTTGTTGGCTTTCGCTCGCATCCTTTTCCCTGTGAATTCAACCAAAACTTCATTTCTTCAGCTTCGAAGGCTGAATTTGAGCTTTATAATCATTATAAAAGTAGGCGACCGGCCTCCTGTGTGTGTGGTAACACAACACCGTGTGCATCACATGCGTGATCCCCCCGCTGCCGGGGAATGCGGTGCAGATCGTGTCAGATGCAGGCAGTTTGGCGGCACGCTTCAGGCTTGGTTTTCATTAGAAAACTATTTGCTCAGAGAAGCCGTGTCACTGTGTTTGATGCAGCTCTGCTCATCAGCTTCTTGGCTTCAGAATAGAGGGAGAAAAAGCAAGAGGGGGACCGAGGCGGAGGCAGAAAGCGTAGGACGAATTAACAGCGAGAATGTTGATCAAAGGAGGGAAAGAAAGAGGAGCGACGGGCTGGATGGACGGGGTGTAACTGAAGAGAAAAGAAAACAGTGAAGTCGAGACGCGAGCGGCAAAAGGGCAGAAGGTGAAGGGACACATGGGGGTCAGAGGGAAGAAGACAGAAAGGGAGGGGAGATGACAAATGAAGTGAGAGCAAGGGAGGAAGGGAAATGACTTAGCAGTAGCAGCGAAGCTGACCCGACATCACAGGAAGCAGAGCGGCTGTCCCGCCGTCGTGTAAAATGAGACAGAAAACACAATATTGGTTTAAAGAGCGACGGTGAGAGCAAAGAGCGGCAACGTCAGAAAGTAGAAGTCCAGTAAAAACAAGCATTTTGGCGAGACAGGCGTGTTTGTATGTTAACATCAGTTTCTTGTGTTTCAGTGGCAGATGAGAACAACGTTGGATCCCTGGCCGGAAGCAATGCAGGTGAGCCAAACTCCCGAACACTCCTGTATGATCCGTGTCGCACACACATGCAACAGATTTCAGAAACCGTAAATTAGCCACAATAAATGAGAAACTGCGGTGTACACAGCAAACATATACATGCTGGACACTTTGAAGGTTTTTCTGGAGACAAATGGAAACAAAATTTGATAAAAAACCAAGAAAGAAGAGCAAGGCCTCACCTCACAGACGAGACCGATATAAGGGAGGAAGCAGTCATGTAATAGGAAAGCTGAAGTGCGGGCGGGCAGAGATGCACGATGCTTCAAAAGCTTTCACCACAGCGGCCGACGAGCGTGTTTTTAAAAGTTTTCATCGGAAACTTTTCTCTTTCTCTTGCCTTGAAGTCTCCATCATTACGTTTGCGGCCTCTTCAGCATTAAGAGCACTCGTCGTTGCACTCTGAGTCTGCCTTTATCCTCCTCACTCAGTCCAGCACTTCTCCCACTTCATACGTGCTGGTACAGACTTTAATTTGTTAGCTCCATAACAATAAGCATGAAAGACAAGTTATGGAAACAGAGATTTAACAGTCATTTTATTAGATTTGGACCATAATGAGATAAAGATGCCGTGTCTGTTCCTCTTTCCATCATTCTGGTAAAAAGATGAGGAAAACACACTTTTCCCTTCGGTTTCTCGTCTTTGGTTTGGAGCTGAGCGAGTGCCGGGTCCAGAAAATGCGAGTAAGCAGACGAGGAAAAAGGGCGTGATGAGGACTGAACGTAAAAATGCAAAGGTGTGGACTAAAGTCCCAAACAAAGCTCTGTCAGCTTAAATCAACAGTGTTGATGATTGTGGACTGTTACCAGGAGGGAAGACTCGAGTGTTAGTAATAGTGTTTATATTCTGGTACTCGCTGACTACGACTGACAGATTGTAATTCAGGATTAAACTGTGGCCAGATTTACTTGTTTGTGCTCGGTCAGTCTGTATTTTCTTCGCTCTGCTGCCAGTTTTGAAGGTCCTGCAGGATAATAATAATAACAATAGTGATGATAATGTGTGCTCTGTCCGGTAACTCAGGGATGTTTTCTTTACTGGACTCCTGGATATCTGACATGTCGTATACCTCACCTCATGGTTTCAGGCCTGTTGAATGTCCAGTAAAGACACTCGGACACTTTATCTGGTTGGTTTCCAGATTATTTTCCCACGGCCGTTTACACATTCCCCGTACCTGTTGCCTGTCAGTGTGTTTATAAGGCTGCACAGCCCAGAGCTGTTAAAGAGAGTGTGTGCCTGGCAAGCGCGACAGCCCACTTTCCTCTTCTTTAATCCAGTTTATAACTGAAATGCTTCCAGCAGCTCCACGATAGGCTGTCAGGACAGCTGCACGGACTTCGGAGGAGGGAGAGCGTGGAGTGGGATGGGGTGGGGTCCTGGGAAATGAGCAGTTTAAAGACAATGACTTCTGGGAATGTTGTTTACACTTCCAGCGATGGTCTTTCCCTCCACAAAGCCAAAGAAATCTCCGGACAACGACATCACACGTTCACCCACACGCGTGAAAGCTGTCGCCGTCATGGTGATAGTATTGTAATGGAAAGTCCCCATCATCCTGTGGAAAATGTGAACTTCATGTTATATTATAGTTCTGCTGAATTTGAGAGGCAAAGCGATGGAAATAGGCGACCGCGTTACAGACCGTGCGTGTGCATGTATGGAAACTTTCCCTTTAAAAGTGAGTGCGTGCACGTCTTTGTGGCTAAATGAAAATCCCACGTGTGGAGGCTGCAGATGAGCGAACGGTCTTCAGGAAAATTTTCAGAAATTCTTGCGATAAATAAACACAGAAAAGCCCCGCTTTCACATTCTGACAAATCGTGTCGGGGTTTGTGGTCAGACGTGTTTGACGTCTTTGTGGCGGCATTGAGAAATAGGAGCTCCGTCATTCTGGTAATGAATCAAACGAGCTGTGGAAGAGGAAACGCCGACAGAAGAGATGCTCCCAAGTAAACTCCACGAAGATTACTCGAGTCATTATTGGCTGCACTTGCATAATCAGAGCACATTAGCTCGTATGGTTCAGTAGTGCAGACTCATCCTTTAACCGCTGTGAGAAGGACGACGGAGTCAAACGCACAAACTGCTGACAGGACGTAAGCGGTTGCAGCTGTGCTCCGAGCCTCGGGTGATGAAGGCGGCCTCGAGCTGTGTTTGTGAGCCTGCATGCAACAGTGCACGAGAGCTGTTTCCATGTGAAAGTCAATTGTGGGGAATAAACAAGCTCCAGAATCGAGAACATTTCCATCCACGCGCACAAACGCCCTCAGTTGTTTCTCGAATATGCGCGAGTCCTTAATACAGATGCTTCCTTAAGAAGTGGGAAAGAAAAGGTCTCGTGTGTTTATACTCACTCGTGTGAGGGTTTTTTCCGCCTGCAGCAAACATGTCTTAAACTGCCAAATTTCTTGTATGCCTTTGTTGCAGTTTTATGTCTTTGTATTGCCGAGTTTTGCTTCCTCCACCCACCAGCAGCCCTCGCTCACTCACTTTCTTGCCAACGCCATTCAGGCTTAGAGGCTGGCAAACAGGCAGAGGAGCTTAGGACGGACAGCATCTCTCTGAAAGTGTGTGTGTGTCGGGGGCCAGAGTGATGCTGAGGGACCCCGGTGCAGTCCATTGTCTGAATCGCTCCCCGGTGAAACTTTGACTTTGACAGCAGTCGCACGCTGACAACACTTTGCCAATTTGCGTCTTCAGAGAGCCGCATCTCTCTGGATCCCCTTCTGTCTCCTTTGTCTCTTCCTTCCTCTCTTCCTTCCTTTGTTTCCAGTCTCTCTCCCAGACTTTGCTTTGGATTTAACCTGAAAGCCACCTTGTTAGGCTGATGTGGATTGATGGATTAATTTGTCGCAGAGAGAGCAGCTCAATTTGTGTCTCGTGTCAGCGTGGCTGCGTGCACGCGTGCAGATCGCGCTCGATGCCGCCTCGCATTAGCTCCTACCGGCTGTTATTAGAAGCAGTGACTGCTTTTCCATCATTCTGTGTTTTAACTGTCTTTGTGTGCACCCTTGGCTCTGCGCCCGTATACCTAATGACCTTTGACCCCTCTCCGTCTCCCCCAGTAAGCCAATAAAGGTAAGCAGTAATCGGGAGATGGTCAGAGCTGTCGCTTCTCGCTGGTTTGGCCATTCGTCCTTTCCAGGCTTTACAGGATGATAGCTGACGTGTGCTGCGCTGATGTTGTATGATGCATGAGACGCTGCACGTCGAGGTGGAGGCCAATGTTTAAGATTTCCATCTTTTAGCAAACCGAAGCGAGAATCTATGAGCCTCCACAGCTCGTGCATTAATGAGTGAAAAATAGATTCTCTTCTCCAAACAGCTCGTGCACATGGATCTCAGATGAAGGAGTCATTATCCTGCAGAAACGACACATTAGCTCTTGTTGGCAGCGAGGCCGGCGACCATCTGGTTTTTGGGGCGGTGCTCGTGGAAGTCCTCCGTGCTGCATATTTGCATTATCGTTTCTTTCGGTCAATTATTATAGCGTCGCCTTTCAGTCCAGCTGCATCTGCGTTAAGCTCTGTGGGAATCTGAAATAAATACTGAGACGTGAGATTGACGATGATGTCACGTGTTTGTACGGCTTACGATGCCCGTTCAATTATTACGGGCCCTGCGGGATCGGAAAACCTCATTTCGTCGGCCGGGATCTGTGAACTGCTCTGCACACATGTAATAAACAGGAAACGGTTGCTTACACAAACCAGACTGTTCCACACACACACACTCTTAGAGATGCTTCGTGTAGCCTGCACGCCTCACCCTTTAGATCATTTTATTTTGAGGAGGAATTTTTTATTAAGCGTGTGTCTTCTCTAACGCGCATGCTGGGGCCGGGTGGTATTTGTGCTGTGATGTAATGCTTTTCTCCCCCCGATGGGACAGTGGGAGAAGCTGGATATTGTCTTTTTCCATGGAAAAGTGGAGCACGGAAATGGAGCTGCGTTTCCTTATTGGAGCGTCCAAAGAGTGCTTGGGTTCATCAGAAGTTGGGGCTGTTGTTGGGTCTGCTGGCTTTGTTGCCGCTGCCTGCTGCTAAGCTGCTCCTTAGTGTAATTTTGACTTTGAAAGTAGCCCACTGCCTTCCTGCCAACAAAATAGCCTTGGGATAGCTTGGCATTCTCTGTCTTTGTGCTCTGTTTTTAATTTTTTATTTATATCTTTTTTGTTTTTCCTCTCTCTCTCCCGTTGTCACTTCCATCCTTCCTCTTTCATTCCCAGGCCTGCTGTCTTTCTTTCTTTCTTCTTTTCTCCTCTGTTTTTCTCTGCCAACCCCCACCTTCCTCCTCCTCCTCTGCCTCCAACCATTTTGATATTCTTGTCTTACTTGTGATCCCCCCCCACACACCCCCCTCGCTCTCTCTCACTCTCTAAAAGCAGCTTAATTCTATCATCTTACAGTTGGACAGCAGTAATTACATTTATGACACAAATCCTGCTACTCAAAGCAAAAAATGTTTGTGAGAGCTTGTGTGTGTGTTAGCTATATATCTTTATAAGTGATTGTGTGTGTGTGTGTGTGTGTGTGTGTGTGTGTTCCCTGATTACCCAGCCAAACACCACAAAGCTATTTATATAACTTCAGCTCATCCAACTACCGAGTGTTTTGCAAACAGTTTTTGGACTCGGAGGTCAGCCTGTGTTTTATTAGCTTCCTTGTTCCTGTTTTGCTTTTTGAATTTTAGCAAATAACACACGCTTTATTATATATATGCAGTTAAGTCCATACGTATTAGGACAGCAGCAGCATTTTTGTAGTCTTGTCTCTGTCCAGTCATTTCGGGACGTTTTCTCGTTGTTTCATTGTTTAAACACAGACGTGATCTGGAGCTGATCAGGTTGCTGGAACTTTCAGGATGAGGTCCAAAGAGGTGTTGATGCAAATGAACGAGGCCACCATCAACCTGAAAAACCACAATAAAAAAGTGGAAAAATCAACAATCTGCTGCATTCTTAAGCATCACCAT